CATTGCATTTAAATCGTGATATTCTTTGAACGGATTGAGCAATTTCAATTATTTTTTCCATCTAAAATTAGCTTCTGGATTTGGCTTCCCAGTCCTTATTATTTTTGGTGCTACATATTCTTTTTAAATACAAAATATATTTTCTGGGTTCGGGTTCCGCTTTTTTTGACTCACAAGACTGTATTCAAGGACTGTAAAGACTACTGAGGGAATATTCAAGGGATTAAGGCAGCAATCAATATTTGTTGTCTTTTGTTCTTTGAAATATTCATGCATTCTAAAAATAGAACACAGCTGCCATAAATGCCTGTTTATTTTATTTTAATATGGCATTTGAGAAAATCATATCACAACAAAAAACACCACTTTTAGAAGAAAAACAAAGTAACCACTAAATATTGTTCCCTAAATAATGTCTAATACCCCCAGTACATTTAATGTTAATTCCTAAACAATACAAAGTTTCTTTGCAAGTTTTTTTCCTAACAAACAGAACCATATTTTCTTTGGAATAACATGAATGTGAAAACCATCATCATCATCACACAATTACCTGTTGCTATTGAGGTACCTGACATCACATCCTCATGATCCTAAAAGAAAAGTACAAAGACATTAGACAAAGTTTGCCAGCTTATTTATGTAAGTCATTTCACAAGGAATAAAGAAGAATCACTTCCTAATGTGCAGATCTTAAGTGACAGGCATCTGACCGAAAGACACGGTCTACAGGCCCCAGCAATACTGATGCAAAACAAATGTAAGTTGAAAGGTATAATGACAGTTATGCCCTTCACTGAAGTTCTTAAACGATATAAAAAGCTGAACAAATAATAGGCTAATTTTTCACAGATATCAAAGATGCAGTAGCCCATGTAAATAGAAAAATCAAACCAGGCTTCTTAAAAAACTACAAAAAGTGCTGTGAGACAGATGATTTCAGAGCCACAAACTTTTAAAAACTAATTTTCAACCTAAACTTTACTCAGTTTACTTTATTCACAATAAAACATACCTTTATCAACCCACAAAATGTGAGTTGAGGAAAGGGGTCCTCTAAATCTTTGGACTTGGTACTCACAGTTTTCTGTAGATAAAATACATACATGAGCAATCAAGAGATTGTGTGGTGCTCCACTACGAAAAATTAGTCACAGATTTTAACAGTGTTTTATTTTGTAGTGGACATGTGTTACAATACATGTATACAATAAACTGAAAGAATCAAAATGTTATGTTGTCTATTAACCCTAACCTTCCTCAATCCTCCAGGCGTTTTGGAGGATTTGTGAGGATTGAAGCTGAAATGATTTAAGAGGATACATTGCTTTGTCCGCTACCTGGTGCAGGGTGAATAGACTGCATTGCTGGCATACTAGCAGGGCTCAATAGAAGGGATTAGCGAATACAGATACAAGGTATTAAAATAAACGTGAAAAACTCCTCACAGGAATATTCCTATAAAAAAGCCCAAGGGATTAACTTCATGTCAAAGTGGTCTTTTAATGTGAATTTAAGGGGTGGGAATGTTCATAGTGTAAACACCTACACATGTACATTTGGTAACATTATAATACCATTACCGTTTTTGGCAACAGGGTAACTTTGTCTTTATGAGGAGATGGGGTTTTGCTTCAAACGTTGATATGCTGTTGAAGCCAACTCCATGCCTAATTCAATTCATCTGATATTTGAACAGGCCAAAGAATTGCAAACAAACCTACGTTGTATTGGAAATACGTACAACAAATAAACCAAATAACTTCAAACCTTTCTCCATGGTAGATTGGGGATCCCGTAATCATATCGCAGCTCTGCGCCAATGGGAAGATCTTCTGTGGCAAATAAGCACAGATGGTCATCAACTAACTGGGCTTTGCAGTTAATTTCTCTCCCACACCCATCATTTACCATTCTCCCAAGCCCTCTTGATTTTGTAGCATCCACGCTGAATAAGAAAAATAACAATGATCCTGATTAGGTCAACATTTCTTTGCTCAATTTAAATAATAATAACATTGAAAGAAATGTCCAGATGAACAAAAGCAACAGGCTCTTCAGGTTTGATCTCCATTTTCTACACCCTTGAATGCAAGGTAGGTACATAGCTCATAAGTTGCAACTGTTCAAAATGTACATGTACAGTCTTATTATACAAATATTAAGTGGCTCAGAGTGAAATGGGAGGAACATTATCATAAGATGAAATCGAGTGAAATGGAAAAGTCCAGAGTGTTCCGAGCTATAATATTCCTCCCATTTCACAATTTGAAGCCACTCAATATTTGTTTTGTATATAATCGACATACATATCCTTGTCATTTGATTAGTGGAACTCACATATATACACATTATATACACATCGAACCCAACAAGCAAGCAAGTCAAAAAATGTACATTGCAAAATTGGCTGAACGTTGAATAAAAAACGAGAATGCATTTGCACAGTTTTTGAACAATACGGAGTCTTCTTCATTTCAATAATATTCTAAACATAATCACTGTACTTAGTTTTACAGATATGTAACATTTTACGTAACATTACTTGCAAAAGTATCTCCGTTTTCAAAACTGCAAAAACTACTACTTCGCAACAACTTTATCAATAAGGAAACCTTGACATATTCTTTGATAGGTCAACTTTGATTGAAATCCAGTAATTTTAATTGACACAGTGGTTTATTAGCCAAAATAAATTAGTAAAGATGCCCGTCACCTAGTTGAAACAAAAATCTCAGTTGACCTAATTTTACGCCTTTCCGTGCAATACTTATGTACATTTTTAAGAGGCAGGCGTGTTTGCACTTCTTCGTGAAGATGCAATTATCGAGATGCCTTTTTCTGGCGTCATTAATGTTATTCGGAATTAATTATCCTTTGCTTACGGAAACTTGTCAGAACGCTGAAGTACCATGTTTT